TTGATTGGTCACTGTTTGACCACATTTTTGTCTTATTTTCCCAATTTTAAGGAATATAAAGAATTTTCCGGCGCAAAACTATTTTCCTGGAATATACTTTTCAAAAATGGGAAATAACTAACATTAACTGTATGCTATACGCCGTATGGGTGCGATCACAAAAATGGCCATAACTCTGCAGCCACTGGCCATTGGCACATTTTGACAACAGATTATTTATCATCTAGATCTACTGGATCAGACCATATCAATATAATGGCCAAACGGCGAAATTGTGTCAGAATATTCCCGATTAAAACTTATATAATTTGCGTTATTGTCATTATTCCGTATAATTCAGTATTTGTTTTTGTGTAAATTTAAATGACAGAAATTGGAAGATATGCACCCATCGTGAATTGGTTTACATTCACATTATGATTGTAAATACATTATACCAACTAATTATTCAAATGCCTTAACATCGTATTTATAATCAGTATTTGACGATATAAGACGAACACCACTATGTATTAAAATTAGAGTCTGTCAGACCTCCAAAGTGTTTACATTTAGTAACTCTTTGTACCATTGTTAAGTTCCTGTGACAAACACGTACGTGTGGCCAGGTGTTAAAAATTTAGAAATGACACGGATGCCTTTGAATGGCTAATAGTGGAATATGTGGTTCCATTGTTATAGCCTTCTGACCTACACGTGCATTCGGTCAGGTGTTAAAAATTTAGAAATGACACGGATGCTTTTGAGTGTCTAATAGTGGAATATGTGGTTCCATTGTTATAGCCTTCTGACCTGCACGTGCATTCGGTCAGGTGTTAAAAATTTAAAAATGACACGGATGCCTTTGAGTGGCTAATAGTGGAATATGTGGTTCCATTGTTATAGCCTTCTGACCTACACGTGCATTCGGTCAGGTGTTAAAAATTTAGAAATGACACGGGTGCCTTTGAGTGGCTAATAGTGGAATATGTGGTTCCATTGTTATAGCCTTCTGACCTACACGTGCATTCGGTCAGCCATTATTTTAGATGATTTTTGGGTTTGTTTGGGATTATTTAAGGTTGGTTTAGCTCAGGTTTGGGCGAGAGGGTTATAAGTTAGAACTTATTGTATAACTGGTTAAAAAGTAAACTAGTTATTTTATAGTTTAAAACTTTTATTTTTGTAAAAATATAATTTTTATAATATTGTTGTACAAAAACAATGATTGTATCAATCGGTGGTATATCTATATTTCGGTCGATCGTAAATGGCCTCAGAATTGGAATTCGAAACATGTCTGTCATATACTATGGGAATAGCTTTAGAACTATTGGGAGGAATATCATAGAGGGGTTCGCTTTGGTTCTGATATTCGTATTGATATTGAAACAAAGAGACCCCTCTATTGGACACGTCGTCCAAATAGGACTCATCGGTAACACAACTGTCGGGTGCTTTCGAAGGGCACCGGCGCTCATGTGGTGTCCGTTCAATACTTTCCTTCCGAACGCCAATTCTCTCAATTGAATCCTTCTTTACGTTTCTCTTCATTATAACATTTAAGCCAATGATTGCTATCGTAATGACAACTAATGAAGTGATGGCCGCTATTATATAAAATGGCAACAGATATTTGAAATCCAGCGATTCCTTTACAGTTGACGGCAAAGAGTGGTCATTATAGCTATTGGTCTCACAAATCGGTTCATTAATATTCCACAAACCATTTGACAAACATTTTTTGCTTTTGATTTCTAGTTATAAAATAAAAAACATAAATTTATTGAAATGTAAATTTCTATACAAATTAAAATAAGCAATAATTTATTGCTTGACGACAAACCTGTCATTGAATTGCAGTAATAATTAATTACTGTGCCGTCGATTGCATACCAAAAGGTTTTGTTATAATTAAACACATTTTCAATGCTTGATATGTAATGCTTTTCATTGGCGTATAAAGTGTTTGATTGAATGCAACTCTTTTTAGGTTTGCATTTGGGATAACTTCCTCTCCAGAGCGCATCCGAAGAGCATTTGAGTTGAGTTCTTGAGGTCGGCGTTGAATTTGTGT